TTTGATACTTGTGTTGCTAGTAGTGATGTAATAAAAAAATTCGGTCAGGATATTGAGACGCAACTAGAATATATAAAGAATAAGGAATATGGCCTTTGGCTAAATGACTCCAATACAGATGGAGGCTTGGAATGAAATGATTTTATATCATTATATTTTTAAATAATACTAATTAGGGTTGGAGGAAATATACCTATTTACACAAGAAAGATGACAATTAACTTGGGCTTTATATTAAAGGTCAAGTTTGAAAGACAAAATTTTGGCAAGAATAAAAATTAAAGTTATTCTTTGATTATACCATGATTGGCTGTTATAGTGCTGATTAATATTTTGCATATGTTTATCATTGCTTTAAACATGTCTGTAGTGGTGCTTGTGGTCCTTGCATTTTCGCAGGCATTCCGTTCCAGAAGTCCTCCGAATATTCTCGTTTCTCCGCTGCATCGCTATGGCTTTATCTGTCGTCGGCTTTGACGTAGGTAGTCTTACCTCGTATATTTCGGTCGCTAGGGGAGGTGGGATCGAAACTATTGCTAATGAATACAGTGATAGGAGTACTCCGTAAGTTGGTCTTATCCTTTTTGAGCCAAGCCAGCACCTGCATTGCTTTCGTCGATAATATAAGGCTTTTTGGGACTGTGGCCAAACAGCGTCAGATATTAGATGTGAGAAATACAGTTACCGATTTTCCTAGGCTTCTTGGTAAAATGTTTAATGATCCCTCTGCCCAGAGGGAGATGAGCCTGACGACTAATATCTACAGGGAGTTAGAAGATGGCAGAATTGGAGTTCAGGTAGCCTTGTTTCATTTATAATCTCCAAAGGTATCTTACTTTGGACAAGATGAAATCCTTACGCCTGAGCAATTATACGCAATGCAACTGACAAAACTCGTTGAAATCACAGAGACAAATCTTGGCACAAAAGTCGTCGATATTGTAATCAATGCGCCTTCCTATTTTACCGACTCTGAGCGGCGAGCTCTGATGGACGCTTCTCGAATCGCAGGACTTAACTGTGTTAGAATCATTAATGACACCACTGCCAGTATGTCAAATTTGTTTTCTAATCCCTCCTAGTTGGTGTCGCCTA